CCCCTATCTGTGGTTTCACAAGAGGCAAAGCAACATGTGAGCAGGGCTTTCAAAACTAAGCAAGTGAAAATGCAAAGACACGATCGACTTCTAAATTTACCTCCAGCAACCGGGCAGTTACTAACTCGCGGAGAAAAGCAGACGGGCTGCGCGGCTAAACTCGCTTGGAAATTGCACAGGTGCAGAAGGCAGCATTTACTTAGCAAGCAGTTTTAATGCAGGACAGCTGCATGGCGGCGCAGGGCATGCATTACGGCTCATTGCTGCATATTTCGCTGTGCAGAAATGTTAGTTACCTGATTTGGTAGCCGTGGCACTCGTCTCGTACGCCATCACCCTCTGCTGCATGGCTGCGTGGTCTTTCTTGAAGCGACTGTCGAAGCTGTGGTAATTAGCCATTAGGTCCCGCACTGTTTTGCCCTTGTTCATCCACTCGTCAGCCCTCTTGTGGGAGTCGCCGATCTCCGACAGGCTGTCCGGGCGGTGTTTGTCTTTCATGTCCTCCGGCCTCTTGCCGCCCAGCTCGCCCGGACTCGGCGCCGCGAGTGCACCGGGGATCCCCATCTGCGCGGGGCGGCCGTTCAGAGCGTGTACCGGAGGAATATTCCCGTTAACCAGGGACACCAGGTTCGGGGGGACGGTGCTAGTCCTGCGGGGATTGGGGCTCTGTCGGTTCAGCTCGGGGGGGTCGTCTGGTTTAGGAAATCCATTCGGGACGGGAATGCCATTAGCCTGCCTTCCCGGCTGATATTCTGGACCCAGTCTGGGCGGCCGATCCGACGCCAGGGGGTAGCGATCCAAGGGCTGGGGCGGCCGCGATCCCGGGTCCCCAGCCGTATGGTTGATAGACTGAATGTCTTTTCCAGAGAGCTGCGGCTTCCCCGGACCCGGAGACCTCCCCTCCTGGAAGCCGTGAGCCCTCTTCAGCTGGCGAGCCGTCTCGATGACAAACTCGATACGATCCGCTCCCTCGTAGTTGACACATCCTCTGCAGACGGGCTCGGTAAAATCCCAGATCATAGCCCAGGGCATGCGGGGCAAGTCACATAAATAACACGACTGCCTCCTAGAAGCAGCGACCGCCGCAGACGACATCGCCTCTTCTCGCAAAAGTTTGCGCAAAAAAAGAAATCAAGAAAACACACAATAACTCCTCCAAGCGTGTTCCGAGTGTAAAAGGCGGATGCGGCGCGATATACGCGTATTTGTTTTTGGTTTTCGTCCCTTCCTGACAGATGCAACAACAATGAAGTTACAAACAGAAGTTCATTGCAGTGCGCACTTTACAACCGCGCGTCTCCGTCTATCTGCGCCTTCACCTCTCAGCAAGCTCACAGCGCCCCGTGACGTCATACCGCACACTACTCCCGCCCGCGCAGCTCCTGCGGCTCGCGCTCCGCTTATTTACTTGATTCTTCGACAACCCGCCCCCCCACCCAACACCTCCTCCGTATTGCGCATGCGCGCTCCCTGCCTCGGCCCATTTCTCTTTTTTTAATCAGTTGAACCCGTGCCAGGAATACGACGGTTATTTCAGACGTGAAGGAGAAACTGAATGTTGCGCGCTGGTAGATAAATATCGTCTCCTGCTACGCTTTGCATTTAAAAAGAATTGTTTACATGCAGCGTAAGGGAACCGTTGAGATTTTTGCACGATTTAGACTTGAAGCCGATTTACTAATCAATCTCTTAATGTATTTTTTACTTTATTCCTCTTAATTATAAAGTTGGAAACCTTATTTTGCGTAAATATGGGGTTACTTGCTTAACATTTGGAAAAGAGTATAATTTTCTTACCTGATTCACGTTCGGATATTCAACATTTCGAAAACTTTATTGGGAATGAGATATAAAATACCGATCACATAATTTTCAACGTGTCCCTGAGATGTTTTTATGCACAGTAATACAAAAAGCACCGATTAAAACACCGAAAATGGTACCGATAACACATTTCCAGACAGCAAAGCGTTAATGCCCTTCAAGCGAACAGGCTCTGCTGGCGATGGCGTCACCAGCGCACTCCGGTTCTCGGCCGCTCTGCGCATGCGCGCTGCTTGGCGGCCGTGACTGGCACTCCGGGCTTCGCTCAGCGAATCCACATTCCAGGTTGAATGCCAGCTCTGCGTCACGCGCGCGCTGTGGAGCCTCCGGCCAACCGTGCAAAAACAGCTCATGTTACTCAGGCGCATTGACACTTCCCCCCTCCCTTTCTTTTTTTCTCTATCTCATAATCATGCACGTTGATGAAAAAGCAAGATTCAGATTGTGTTTGGGAAGTGTAGGACATTATTTTAAAAAATCTAAGTTTATTGTAAAGGGTCGCTGTTTCCAAATTTTAAGACATAAAGTTTTTCTTTTTATTATATATATTTGAAACGATTTTTCTGGTTCCATATAAAGTGACTTGAACTTTTATGGTAAAACCTATAACCATTTAAACTTCATTTTAAGGTTTAGATCCAGAGTGTGATTGCTATTGATTTATTTTGCTTTTGCCCAAAGACTACCGTATTCTAACGACTGTGCATTTGATGCGTTTGAAACATTGATAATACGCAAACAGTGATCTACAGCAAGCTGCAAGTCTCACTAAAACATGCAGTTGAAAGCTAGAAAATGACAGGAATATATTCTAAGGAATATGCATAGGTCTCAACTTTTGACGCGGGGATTTCCTGGTTTTTAAATGAAAGCGTGTCTTAACCGCATCCAATGCAGGTGTGTAAACAGTGTTTAGGCAGACTTTTTGCCTCTTTACATGCACCCCAGTCCGACAAGTATTTTCACTTAGTTTCGTTTTATTGCAGTGGGTCATCGGAAACCGGAGCGAACTTTACACGGAGCAACTGTATGTGCATTTGTATTGAAGCATGTAACTTTATTTTAGACCAGATTAAAACAAATAAACGCTGCTATTTTTTTCCGGATACAGGGTGTCTTTTTTTTGTTCTAAATACGACATGGAAGTCTAGATGTTTTTATTAGGTTACTACTTATAGTATATAGTGACTGGGGATGATTTATATTAACGTTTGTGACTGACAGTAATTTTTAAAAACCTGAGGGGTCTCGGATGAGGCAATCCGTCTGTGATCCACAGCCCCCAGAGCAGGATATGTTTTTATAAGCTCTACTGAGAACTATCGAAAAGGGAAGTGAGAAGTTCAGTCACGTACTGAAATATTTGATCCGTCTTTGCAACAACACCAATGACTTGGCTCGCGACAGTCCGCCGACATGCGCAAAACGGTTGTGTGTGGGCTACTTCCAGCTTGTGTTTGAATGGGGAAATTATCATTACTTATGACACTTTACGCATTGGACGGTACTTTTACTGACCTTTATGACCTCTTAAAATGCTAAATATGTACAGTAACTTTTATTTTCTTATTTGAGAGAGACCTTTATGTTTGCAGGTCTTGAACCCTACATTGTATGCTTTCTTTGACTTCAGACTGAGAGCAAATTGGTAGAAGTTAAAGGTAGTCCAAATTAAATTTATAAGTATTATTTTCCCTGGTAATAAAATATATAATTCCTAAATCATTCACCTTCGTATTCATTTTAAATGGAACAAAGAAAAAATGAATACAAATACCAAAGAATCAATAAGTATTATAAATGCCAGTAAATAAAGTGTTAGATATATTGCCCTGATGTATATGTTTCTAGCAGATTAAAGGATTTATTTACAGCGCTCCTCGGTATGAGGGGCTTCACTTACTGTTGACATCAGGAGATTACTGAGCTGTAGCACACAAATAGCCGTAGATTTGTTTCTTGCAGAAGTGTCTGATGAGATCTCTGTTTATTTGACACCACTGTGCTCGGCATCTGGATGCAGGGATTGGAAATAATGCCATGGGGGATTTTGTAATTATAGACGGCTCTTTTAAATTTACATGCATGTTATGGACAGCCGTGTTTTCAAGACTAATGGAATGCTAAAAAACGACCATAATATCTTAAAAATTAAAACTGTGGCATATAGAATGTGATCACATTCAGATCTGTTGAAAGCTTGCTCTCTCTGGTTAAAATGGTGCATTTATCCTTCCTAGAACCATGCCTATGTGTCCATGAGGTAATTCCCTGCTCACTAAATGTTCTTAATCCATTAATCAGAGTGGGAACGTCCCTCAGCTACCCCAACTTTGTAGTGAATGAGGTTGGGCTATCCTAAGGCATTACAGGCCTACTCTCGAGGATGGAGACCGGCCGATGACATGCACCGGCAGATTGATGGCCCAGCTCACTGCCGTCTGTCTCAGGCCCACGTCACTCGGAGTGAGACATATGGGTGGCTGATTGGATTGGGATTTGGGGGTGGGGAGGGTGTGTTGACACTCAGCACGGTACGTATCAGGACGAATATGTGAGGCAGCTAAGAGAGGAGGCCTCGTGAAGTCAGCAGGAGCCAAGCAATTTACTCCTAACCCCGTCGTCCCAGTCTGGCCACCAATCAGCATAACTTACTGTGACATTGTGACAGATTAAAATATAGACATATTTCATTCTGCGCGGTATTTGTTATGATACAAGAGCATGTCATAGCTTGGTAAACAATTTCAGGGAACACAGGATGCGATTAATCTCTGCAATGACTATAGATTACAGACATAAAACGTAACTTAAGTCTACCTAAGCTGAAAATTATGCCCGTAATTGTGTAACCGGTTAAATAGCTCGGCCTGAAATTCTGCCCCGAACTTGGTTTGTTTTGATGATGCGTCTCACATGTCCTCACATCAGCATGTGTGCCATGAATCATGAACGAGCAGCTCTTACACCAACACTCTTCCTTTATTTTTATTTTGGGAAAAGTGATCACCTGACAGCACTCTTCTGATCAATATAAATCAGAGGTTTTTCCTGAATACCGTCGCATGTCAAAACAATCAATTGAAAACTGTCCCTTTTAATGACAGTGTTTATAAAGACCATTTATAGTTTGCTATTGATTTAGAGTCAACACCATAAGTAGGAGACTTACCCACCTCAGCTGCTTAGGGAGACTCATTTTGGGTGATGATACTGTGTGAGTTTATCGATTATGTTCCACTTGAAACCTCCCAATCTGGCGATTACAGAACAGGCCCAGTATGAAAGGGGTAAAAGGGCACAGATGGGTATTGATGGCTTTGCTGACTGATATTCTTCAGAGCCCTCTTGTTTCATCATATGGACTCTGACCCCAATCCACAACAGGGCAGCAACACCCCAGGGGGGTGGGGGTGGGGGTGGTTGTGCTGACGAGGACCAGTGCCTCGGTTTAGGCTACTTCGGCTTGCCAAGTCATCAGATCTGACACGTGTCAAGGTCACCTTGGCCCCGCCGTCGGGTGTGAAGTACGCAGCATCGCCTGGGACTAACTCACCATTAATCCGCTTGGGGCGGGCTCGGGGAGGTTGGCCAGGTGCATGCGCTGTTTGGGGGGAGGCGTTTGCACAGAATTATCTGATAAATAGCTTTGTGATGCACACTTTGATGTGTTAAGTGTTTTAATTTTTAAATAAGCGTCTTTAATCAGTGGCCGCCGTTCATTACAGATTTACTTTGAAGTTCTCTCCACGTGCTTGGTGCTGTATAACATGTCATACTCGAGAGGAAGTTTTTTCTTTTCCCCTGAGTTCTTGTTTTCAGAAGTATTTTCAGGCTCCGGCAGTCATTAACGTGTACTTCATTTCAGTAGAGCGCCGCCCTGCAGGTAGGATATGACGTTGAACAGTGGGGGTAAATACTACATGGGGATAAATACTACATGCAGCAAACTAGACGCTTTTTCTTGTTTTAATTCAGGGTAACCCTTCCTGTTGGCCTGGGTGGTGTTCAGCTCAGGCCACACCAACGTGCGATTGTTTCTCAGTCGGCCCATTCGTGGTTTTGTCTTAGCACCCTTTTGATTTATCCCTGCCAGGCAAAAAAAAAAAAGTAAAAACGGAGTAATTATCAAAGCGAAACTTTATAAGTGCAATGCTTCATCCCCGATGTAATTATCTAAAAGAGGCCCAAACGATATGCTTTTTCATTTTATACCCGAGTTTATAGCCCTTTTTTAAAAGTTAAAAGTATTTTCTGTAATGTCTGAGCACACGGTACAGGCAGGTATAAGGTCACGCCAGCTTTCAGGGTGAACTTTACACTAGTACACTGTAAACACCGCGATGCTGGTATTGTTTTGTTTGTAACCAAGCATTCTCTGATGATCTCTGCCTTTTACAGGGAAGCGTAACCATGGAAACCGTCCTCTTATCAGGATACCCTCGGTGACAAGCCACATCCTGTTTACAATGTTGCTATTTTTCTGCTCCAGTTTTACAACTCTGTTCTCCTCGCCTTGCATATGTGTGTGTGTGTGTGGGGGGGGGTGGCGACTGCATTTCTCAGGTTGCTTCCATAAAGCGCAGTCAGGTCAGAGCACCCACATCACAGCACTCCTCGATTCTCCTGACTTCAGCGACGCCTAAAGTCGCCTCACCGCATGAACGCCTGGCTGCTGGAAATGCTGAAAACGTAACTTTGGCCGACTGTGATTTTGCGTCCACAAGTAGCACTAATTTACTTTCTCTACATGACAAATCACTTAAAAAATCATAATCACTCGCAAAGTTTTCCTTTCCTGTTATTCCACTCCCCAGACAGACAGTACAGAAGTTCTTATTTTACTTAAATTTTATTAAAAGTCAATGGTTATGACATTGTTATTTTAGACATTTATTTTAAATAAAGCTGTAGTTCCCGCTGCAACCTTAAAGAGTCTGTTTATTATGCAGAAAAGGCAACCCCTTGTGCAATACCTTTTAAGATTTGTGCCTAAGGCAATTAAATAGTTTATTTGTTGGGAACTTGTTCTATAGCACGGTACTTTATTTTCATTAATGGAGTAGGAAAGGGAGGGTCATTTATTTCAGTGATTAATTACCAAGTAATAATTAGCTTCCACATTGGATGGGCTGCAGCAGACATTTATACTAGCATAAGGTAAGCGACAGACTCTTTAAGGAGACCGCGGCCTGCAGGCCCGGAAATCTGCTACGGAAGGGCTCTCATTTGGTCATTTGGCTTGGGGGTGGG